GTTGATCCAAGAAGAATGAAGCCCTTTACAACTTCAATCTTTTCTCCATTGTAATGTTGTCCATAGCTTCTCAGGATCCACACAATTGAAAGCATTTGCATGGTCAGTAAAGCATAGGTAAACATCTCTCTGTTAGTCTCTGCTTTCAGCCAAGATCCATTGGACATCAGCAATGATATACCTTGTTCTACGTCCTCTTCTGAATCTAGCTTGAACCTCTGGAAATTCTCTGTCAATGTATGGTTGTAACCGTTTCTGTAGTACCTTTAGTAAACCTTTACTCGCATGGTAAATCTCAAGAGATTGTCTGATGATTTCTGCATTCATTGGGCACAAGTATGGATCTTTTTCAGTGAGTTGGCCAAGTAGTTGTCTTCCAAATTTCTTGGCATAGATGAGTGAGTGCCTCCCATGCTGCATCAGTTTGTTGAACAATTTAATTTGTATTCTATCAATTCCCGGTGCCTTGTTCTTTGTCAATGCCTTCAATGCACCTTGCTTGGATTTCTTCCTTCAATATCATTGACTCTTGATCATATGCTACCTCTTGAAATGGTTGAACATTGAACATTTCTTTTTGGTACAGTGGCTCTATGTCTTCCTTCCATCTTCTTTGGTGCTTTCTGCATCATTCAATATTTTGCCCATAGAATCTTTCAATATCGCAAGTTGAGGCTTGAAATTTTTGTCAGTTCCCTCAGCTTGAGAATTGCTGAGTGTGTTCTTCCATTTTGGTTTTCTAACTCCAGGTCTTTGAACATTTTATTATAATATATGACTTTGTCTTCTTGAGCTGACCTTTGAAATGTTCGTTCAACTCTTTTATCTCCTCATTTCTTACATTTGCTTTAGCATCTCTATATTGGAGAGCAAGTTTCAGAGTCTCTTCTGACATTCATTTTGGTCTTTTTCTTCTTTCTTGTCTTCCTAATGACCTTTTGCTTTTTTCCTATATGATGTTTTTGATGTCTTCCCACAACTTTTATGGTCTTCGATCTTTAGTGTCTAATGCATCAAATCTTTTCTTTACATGATCTCAAAATTCAGGTGGGATACGTTCCACGGCACATTTTTACTTTCATGGACTTGTTTTAATTTTCTTCAGCTTCAGCCTGAACTTGCATATGAGCAAATGATAGTCTGTTCTACAATCTGCCCGTGACCTTGTTTTGACTGATGACATGGAGCTTTTTCACTGTCTATTTTCACAGATGTAGTCCGTTTCATTTCTGTGTATTCCATCTGGTGAAATCCATGCATATGGTAGTCTTTTATGTTGTTTAAAAATAGTAATTGCAATGATAAAGTCATTGGCCTTGAAAAATTCTATCATGTATTCTCCAGCATCGTTTCTATCACCAATGCCATATTTTCCAACAACTGATCCTTTCTCTCTGTTTGCAACCTTTGCGTTCCAATCGTTAGTAATTATCAGTATGCCTTGATTGCATGTTTGATCGATTTCAGACTGAAGAAATTGGTAGAATTCTTCAATTCATCATCACTGGCTTTAGTGGCTGGTGCATAAATTTGAATAATAGTGGTATTAATAGGTCTTCCTTGTAGGCATATGGATATTATCCTATCACACACTGCATTGTACTTCAAGATAGATCTTAATGTGTTCTTTTTGATGATGAATGTGACACCATTTCTCTTGAATTTGTCATTCCTGGCATAGTAAACCTTGAGATTATCAAATTCAAAACTGCCAATACCAGTCTATTTCAGCTCACTAATACTTAGGATATTGATGTTTATGCATTCCATTTCAATTTTTTGACAACTTCAAATTTTCCTAGAATCATGCTCTGTATGTTCCATGTTCCAATTATTAATGGATGCTTACAGTTTTTTCTCTTCATTATGAATTGTGCCCCATCAGCAAAAGAAGATCCTGAAGGATTTACTCTATTTGCATCATCACAGTCAACTCTACTTTGAAGAGGCAGCTCTTCTTCAATTGTATTTTGAGTGCTTTCCAACCTGAGGAGTTTATATTCCAGCACTATATCTGACAATATTCTGGTGCTCTTCATTGTGTTTCAGTATTCAACATTCTCGAGCTGACAGTGTTCCACTGCTATTCATAAGGTTTTCAGTGATGAAATATTCAGAAGTAATCTGTCTCCTTCTTCATAGTCTGTCTTTGTCTGGAGACTCAGCTGAAACCTGTCCATCACTAGTCTGTCAGTTTGTCATACTGTGGTGGCTTATGTCT